CGGGGACGGAGGAGGGGAACCGGGACCGGGGGGACTCGGCACGGGCGGGTGGAGGGGAAGGGTCGGGGGGGTGTCCAGCAGGGACCGGGGGGTTGTGAGGGTCTGAGGGAAAATATCCCCGGGAGAGTGTGATCTGGGGAGGCTCCGGTGGAGAATATCCCGGGCAGCGGCTGGGCAGGGGGGCTCAGGGAGGGTTACTGGGGGGATACTGGGAGCACTGGGAAGGTGGGGCCGCATCCCTGGGGAGGGGCTGGGAGTGTTCCAGACCCCCCAGAGCGGCTCCAAGGAGCACTGGGGGAGTCTGGGGGCCGGTTCCCCCCCCACCCCGGGCAGTTCCAACCGCTCCCTTTCCCCCGCAGCCCCCCGGGATGTGGCTCTGACGGCCGCGGTGCCCCCATGGCCGCACACCTCGTTCGCCGGTGCTGCCGGCGCCTGCTGCTCCCGGGCCCCCCCCGGGCTCCCCCGGCCGCCCCCCGGGGCCGCCCCCGGCCCGGGCAGGGCCCCCCCCGCGGCCGCCCCCCGCCCCCTACGCACCGGCCCCCCCAGGTGGGCCGAGACCCCCCAGGCGCGGCCGCGGGAGGAAGGGCCGGAGCAGCAGCTCCGGGAGCTGATCCAGGGAGCCACCGACCCCCAGGAGCTGCTGCAGCTGTGCAGGGGGCACGGGCTGAGCAGCAACCTGGCGGGCATGGCCATCGCCCGCCTCGCCCGCCTCGCCCACGGGCGCCCCGACGCGCCGGCCATCCACGGGGACCCCCGGCTGCTGCGGCTGCTCGACACCCTGGACGGGCAGGTGGGACGGGGCACGGGGGGCTCCGGGCTGTGCCTGCCCCGCCGGGACTCACCTGGGAGGGGCTGGGGCACAACCCTGCAGGGACCTGGGCTACTGCACTGCCTGGCTGGCTGCTCAGAGCACACCCGGGAGGGGCTCCGCGGGACGGGACGGGCCCCAAACCCCCCTCCCCTGCTGCCCCCGTCCCTCCCCCGGGCTTGTCCCTTGGGTCCCCCAGCTCTGCCAGGTGTGGAACGTGATGCTGGTGCCCCTGTTCCACCTCTGTCCCACACTGTCCCTGTCCCCAGACCCCAGATGTCCTGGGTGTGGCACAGCTG